ATATCTAAACTTCATTAATCTTCATCATAAAAGACTTGTAAACCAAGAAAAAGAACACAAGTACCAAGTTGTTTCTATAACAACAACTGTCATCGTTCTTCAACTCAACACCGATAATTTCTGCGCCAAACATCGTCATTCAACCGACAACATCGGAGTAACATATTTGTCAAAACAAAAGCAATGCTCGACATCGACATAGTGGTTTGCAACAACAACAAAAACACAATGAATACAGACGCCAATCGAAAGTACCATACCTGAGTAAATTGATATTTTTTGTTGTTAACCTGTTGAATGAGAATCGTGAATAGATGAGAGCTTGAAAATGAAACTGAAAAAAAATAAAAAATAGAAGAACATAGGATTTACGGAACCGGGGGAGTATTTTCTTAACCTAAAGATTTGTTGTCATAGAAACTAAGAGTGAAAGGAATCAAAACAAAAACAGTTTGTTGTTGTTGAAGGTGGAACCGATAGAGATTTGAAAAAGTAGAAGTGCAAGTTTTTATTATGAATAAATTTTGAGGAGATAAAACTGCAAGTTAAAACACATAGTCCACTGGTTGGCGTGATTGTAGGAGGTGTTAAGGGTGTTGGATTCGAAACTCAAGTGAAACAGATCTTAAGATTTTTTTCATGTTTTCATATCAAACCCACAAAATACAAGTCACAATTAAATAAATAAAAAATATTAAAAAAAAGTCACAGTGGCATACATGACCCAGTCAGCAAACGGATCCTGGCTACGTCTGCATTTCAAATAGAATCTTGGGTTAAAAAGTTTTTGGTTATGAAATCTATGTTTGTTGAGAGGCGAAAAGAACTTTTTTTAAAAGGGGCTAAATCAAATCTCGCTACTATTGCAGAGGTAGAAGACATTTAATCCTAATAACTATAACTTAACTTTTTCTTCATCAATTAAACAATATTTTTTGTATTTGATTATTTAACTCAAATGTTCATATTATTGATGCTTTTCGATTATGGTTAGGGTTGTATTTGGACCAAGTTATCCGAGATCGAAAATCGGTCAAGTGGAACCGGACTAATAGACCGATCGAAATGTTATTTGGTCTGAAAATGGATAATTTTTTTATCCGATACTCGAAACAAGAACCAAGCCATGTGTCTAATAAGTACTCAGCAATTCTTAGTATATATTGTTATCTCGAGTATTCAATAAATTTTTCATTTTGAGGAAGTTGTCTAACGGATTATCCGAGAATCGATCCAGTGGAACCGACCAATAGACCGACCAAAATGTTACTTGGTCCAATTTCAATCTTAAAAAATTATACATTACTGTTTCGGTCCGATTTTAGATTACTCAATTACATTTTCGATTCATTTCTCAAGAGTACTTATATCTGGATCGGACTGAAAGCAACTCTAATTATGATAAATGAAAAATGGAGAATTGTGAGAGTATCTACATTCACATAACATTGATTAAGTTATACGACAATTTAAGAACATTTCAAAATGAAACACGAAATAAATTAGGGCCAACTATTTTTGCAAACGTAACAACTATTGTAGATTAGTATTATAGAAAAGGAGTAATAATTACCATATCAATGGAAACATTGGTTTGGGACGAGCTGTACATTATAGCTGATCCTGATGCCTAACAATATTATGAGTATTGCTGTTATCTTTAATTTTCCTTCGTCTAACTTGAGGGACCTGTTGTTTAAGGCGATGCAATTAATTCATAATTATTTGATCACCTATTCATGTACTATGGACAGCTGTGAGTCAGCATCAGAAACACATTGGGCCCATAATATTTACTGCAATTTATTATTTTAATTATTAAAAAATATAAATAGAAGAAAAAACTTATATATCACGTGATTCTTATTATTTTCTAATAAAAATATAATAATTACACTTAAATATTTTTTAAGAGTAAAAATAAAAAAAATTATATATTTATAATATTTTTATTGAAAAATAATAAGGATTAACTATCAAATTAATTATATGTGGATTTTTATTAATAGAGATGCAAAGTAAAAAAATTAAGAGTGTATATACAACATTAATTAAAGAATATAAATAAATAAATAAAATTACATTAAAATTAAAATGACATTTATAGCAAGTGTATAATAGAGATACACACATGTACCAAAGAATCTAAGTGTTTTGCATATAATTAGTAAAACAAAATTACATTTATGAAGAAGTTAGTTACAAAACTTTGAAAACGCCTAACTTTAATTAAATGTAAGAGTTCGGTTCAAGTCATCTATAAATAATAATTTAATTATTTTATTGTATTTAACATTCATACACGTAGTTTAATGATAAAGATTTGGGTTTTAAAAGTATAATTTTCTTAAGATCTCTTCGATCTTTATTAGGTGCAAATTCCTTATTAAAGGAAATTCATCTTGAGTCTAATAAAATAACATTTACAAATTCTTTTTCTTATATAAACCTAAGTTTAATAGTTATTCATATATAAACCCAAATTTAATAGTTATTCATATTTTCATTTTTTTTTTATCGTTGTATCATGAGCCTATGCTTTCATTGAAACTGAACAATCTTCTTCATTAAAAAATGGATTTAATTCGAAGAACTCTTCAATATCTTTGTTGAGCACATCAATATTAAGCTTGATGATACAAATTTTCTTTCTTAAAAACAACAAGTAGAAGGAATCATTTTCATTCACAAACGCCATTGTCATCTTGTGAATTCATAAATTCCTTCAAGATATCTCTGCATAGAAAGTCACCCTTTAGACATTGAGAATCCTATTAGTAATATAAAACATACATTTTGTAACATCGTCTTACAATAATTATTTATTATGAATTACAACAAAATTCAATATTAATTTGTGAGGTAAAGAATAGTAGTAACTAAAATAAATGGTCAACAATAATAATTATCCGTACATTTATAATATAACAGAATAAGTCAAAAAAATTACGAAGATTTGTTTATCCAGATCGATCACACAATCTATTCTGGGGGAGAAAGCAACTCTCCAATTCACTATACTCAGAAAATTGTTACAAGAGATTACATATTAGTTACAAGAAAATATGTTTCGCCTTCAGGTTTTCAAGAGCAACCCTAAAGACTCGCAAGAATTATTCTATTTTCTACCCAAGTGTTTCCCAACTTCTTCGACCTTCAACCTTCAATACATGAATAACTCAACCTCAATGTGTAAACAAGTGTTTCTCAATTCCCAATAACAATAGATAACTCCAAAGATTTCCAAAACTCTTGTCTTTCTAAAGTTTCCCTTGAGAATAGCTAAAACCATATGTTATGTCTTTAAACCCTTGCTCTCTCTTGTTGTTGTAAGCTCTAAGATTGTAAGACTATAATAACAAAAGAGATACATATTTATAATAGTCAAAATCCAACAAATCCATAACAAATCACAAAACATATCTCCTTAATTGTTAAAATAAAAATATTATTATAATCTTATAAATATTATAAATATCTTATAATATCTCTTTTTATATTAATTTATATGATCTCTAAATTAATATAAAATATTTTAACATTAATGAATGGATCAATGAATCAAACTGATCGAACCTGATACCCGTAAATCATTCGGATCAGATTATTTTTCAGCTTTCTGATTTTTGGCAATCTCAAAACATGTTTGCGTTCTCTTCATCAACAAAGGTTTTAAGACATATTCCAACAATCTCCACATTGACTTTAAACCGTCACTACGCCAAAAATGATTTTTTGTATCACCTAATTTAATAGCACTTTTAAAAAAAATGCTATTAAAATGGAAAAAACACATTTATAATAGCACTTTTTAATCGGGCGCTATTATATAATACAGACTATGTAATTTTGATAGCACTTTGTACCAGAACGCTATTATTAAACTTCTTTAAGATAGCATTTTGTATAAAACGCTATTATTTGACTACCTATATAATAGCATTTATTAAAAAGCGCTATCTTATATATAATAATAAATTAATTAATTAATTGATAAAAAAAAAAAAACACATTTTCAGAAAGGTAATCAAAGGCATCCAAGGAGGTTCTCTTTTGTGAGATATAAGGTGCGACTATCCGCTTCGGACACGAAGAAGAGAGGATTGAAGGATCTCGAACATTACCAGCACGGTCGGATAAAAGTTCAACACTTTCATCTTGAATCTTCTCGCGCGCACAACACCTTCAACCTTACAATCTTTTCTCCTTACTTCAATTTTTCGTGGAAAACAAAAGAACCTGAATCCTATCTCGTCGAATGCACCTTCCTGTTTCGTTTTTTTCTTCAACTTGTTCCCGGTGAGTATTTCCATATTTTCTACTCTTTGATATGCATATAAGGTGTTTGTAAATTGTTCTGTGTGGAATGGATTGTGTTATTGTTATGTTTTTGATGAATTGAATGTTGCCATTTGATGCTGATGTGTGTTTTGATTTGGAATAGAGTTTCAGGTTAAAGCTGAATCTGTTGTGATTCAAAGGAAAGTTGCAGTTCGTAATCAAAGGAAAGTAACTTGTTGGCCCTGGTGTTTGAATAATGGCAGATACTATAGTTACATCTGACCAATCTTCTACTTCCTCGCTAAACGCTACCCGAATAATCTGTCATGTGTAAGTGCCTCTGGATTTTATTATAGTTTTTCAAATATTTATTTGGTAGTAAGAATACTGATCAAGCTAATCTCTTTTATACATTTTCATATGAAAATAGATGTCAGAAGCAGTTTTCTCAATACACATGTCCTCGATGCAATTCACGATACTGCTCCCTCCCATGTTATAAAGTAAGTGAAGTTACAAAATTGTTATGTTTGATTTGTGAATTATAATAAAATTCACTCCTTTCTATGAATACTCTAATTAAGTTTTCTTCCTTGTTTGCTATGAACTGCCGTAGTTTTGATCTCTTTTATTGTCGTTTTTACAGTCTCATAGTCTTTGTTGTACTGAATCCTTCATGAAAGAAAATGTTGTTCAAGAGCTCCAGCAAATGCAACCTGATGAACAAACCAAATGCACGAGGTTTCCTTTTCCTTTCATGATTTATGCATCATGATCCAGCAACCTTTTATATGACTATTTTAAACTTTTATATTAATAAGTTCCCATAAATAATGTTTTCAACTCAACAGATTTCATGGATGTCTCCCTAACCAAACTAGTATTCTCGGGAGACCTTTGATTAATGGATAATATTGTGGTAGATAATAATCTATTTTCCATGGTATCACCGCACTTTTAGTATTTAATGCAGACACATGCCAAAGGCAGGGAAAGATCACCGTGTTTGGATTGAGAGAGACCGAGTTCAAAAGTTTCAACTAACTTAAATAATTTCCCCCCATGATAATTGTCAATGACTAACTCTCAAAAGTTTCAGTTGTTAAGTGAAGTTCGTGACTGGTTTTATATCTATAACTAGTTCCTATAATATTTTGAAACCCATGAAACTTTTTATTACCTTTGTGTCTCTATTGGCAGTATTTTAGCATGAAACTTGACATCGGTTGACTGCTATGAGCATGCTTCTATTTTAATTATGGTTCATGTCACTTGTCATGTTAACATTTGTTTTGGTTTACCCTCATCCGAAAAAACAAAATGACTAGGTTCTGATCGAGAAAAGTTAGCAAGTTCAAAAGGAAAATTTGCTCAATACCTTACCGGAATCTTAGAGGTGTATTTCTCTTACCATTGTGACGCATACAACACCAATGGTATGTCTTCATTCTGCATTAAAGAGATAATATAGGCCTAATCATCCGAATTATTAATAGTTCTTTTATACAGGAGTTTACCTTCATGACCCTACAGCGTTGCTTGCAGCCGTTGATCCTTCACTCGTAACTTGCACAGAAGGTGCTGTTAGAGTCCAAACCAGTGGCATAACAAGGGGACTTACAATTCTCTACAATAAACAGAAAAGGTAGAAAGCACTAGGAGTTGATAGCCCTGAAATTTATCTATATGAATGTTAATGCCATTTTATAGCAGTTCTGTCTCTCTCCAAATTTCTCAGAATAGTTTGTAAAGATGTTATGGGATTGCATTGACTCTACCAAAGAAATAGGAATTTTTCAGTGACCGACCTAGTTCTTTAGGGGAAGGAAGTAAACTTTTCGTAAATGGTTTAGGCTGTTGTTTGATAGGAGTTTAGATTGCATTAAAATTTAAATGAATTCCCCGGCCTTTTGTTTATATATTCCTTCTATTTGATTAGGAAGAGCAATTTATGTGAAGATTTCCCAGGTATGCCTAGAACATTCTGTTTCAGATAACTGTTACATTCTCAAGTATACTGCATTAGCTCTGGCCTGGCCAAAATCTACCTTGCTGGACCAAACATGATGACAGGGATAACTACAGAGATACTTCGTTGGTGAATAGAGTCTTAGCTGAACAGAGAACATAACCTGGAGTTTGCTAAGCTTGTTCCTTTTTGTATGGGCTAATGGAGGATGCTTTCCAAGGGGTGATTAAGCACCCCATAATACCCAAGTCTATATCTTAACACTGCCCACAAGAGTCGCCATTCTGGAGGCCTACTGTAGGAAACTTCGCTTGACCATTTTCAAATAGCTCATCTGTAGTTGGCCTTTTCTGAGACACCGGCAAACTAAGTCACTCAAATACTCCGCCGAGCAACTTATACTATTCAATGTTAGACTTGGGAACTCCATAATATTCAAGTCTCCGTCACCCTTTTGAGTGCAATTATTAGGGAAAATACTTTGTTATCAAGATTTTCTATCTTGTGATGACTTGTTCATTTTGTTATGAATTTTGGATCCATATTAAGTTATAGTTTTGGTGTGTATACTTTGCGACATTCACAGGGCGGACTATAACCCGGATCAGTATTTGTGGGAAAAGGAATTCTCCCTCGCTGGTAGGACGTACCAAAGGCAGGATTTGGAGGCAAGTATGGACTATTTATTTCATAGGTTATTGCAATTATTGTTGTCTATCTATATAAGTTACACCACGATTCCAGTTGTTTTAAATATAGTAGTTTTTAATTATTTGATTTGATTTGGTGTGATTAGGGTTCATGCGGCTCATGTTGGGCGTTTAGCACAACCGGAGCTTTAGAAGGAGCACACTATCTGGCTACTGGGAAACTAGTTAGCCTTAGCGAACAACAGCTTGTGGATTGCGATCACGTGGTTAGTTTCTTTGCTTGATAATTTCTCGTTTCTTTTTGTTTAATTCTGGTTATTGCTTATATGTTTATGGATTACAAACCGGCCGCTGAATTGAGTTGACCCAACCTCTTGATTGAGTTTGTTATTGTTTGGATTTGATGAAATAAATTTTATTATTCAAAGAAGATCAAACCTGATAATTTTTATTGATTTGGAAATGGAAAGCATTATTTTCTTAAAAAGTGATGTGCTGGGATATTTTTTATTATAAAATATGCACCTTTTAGAATGAAATTTAAGTAAAAAAGGTTATGTGAGAAGTAGATTTATGGGGTCTTAGGTTTTAACCAAATAAATCGACTTTTGATATACTATTTTTACTTGTATTTCATTTTGGATTGAGTAATTTATATGGATAGTAATGTGTTCTTGTCATAGTGCTGAAAGTTCTATGAGTATAAAATATGCTGCTGCCTCTAGAATAAGATGTAAATTGAAAGATTATGTGAAAAGTAGAAGTATTTGGTCTTCATTTTTGACCAATTACCTAATTTCTCACATCATTTTTGTTTATATTTCATTCTAACGTGAGTAATTTATATGGATACCTGTCTTGGATGGCAAAGCTGTACCACTTGGCATGAGTTGAATCTTTCCTAGTTATTTATATTCTTCAACTTAAAACAAGTTATAAGCACAATTTTGTAATGGTAACTATCTCTTCATGTTTTTAAGTTTTGACATGGGTATCGTTGCTTCCTGTATTCCCATGTGCTGTTCTTCATATGATGTATATTAATTATAAATTAATGGGTAAAATTTTTGCAGTGTGATCCAGAGCAAGCTGGATCATGTGACTCGGGCTGTAATGGTGGATTGATGAACAATGCATTTGAATATTTACTCCAGTCTGGGGGAGTAGTGCAAGAAAAGGACTATGCTTACACAGGAAGAGATGGCTCCTGCAAATTTGACAAAAGCAAAGTTGTTGCTTCCGTGTCTAATTTCAGCGTGGTTTCCTTAGACGAAGAACAAATTGCTGCAAATCTAGTAAAGAATGGCCCTCTTGCAGGTAACTAATTGTTCCTCATAATTTTTTTTATAGATATACCATGTATTTGTTTGATCATCCTTTTCTTCTTCTTCTTCTTCAAGATACAGATTGAAAGGCATATTGTAGAAATACTGACTTATACTCTATTTGGTGCAGTTGGTATTAATGCAGCCTGGATGCAGACATACATGAGTGGCGTTTCATGCCCATACGTATGTGCAAAATCACGTTTGGATCATGGTGTTCTTCTAGTCGGTTTTGGAAAAGGTGCTTATGCTCCCATTCGATTGAAGGAAAAGCTTGTTGGATCATGAAGGTGGTTACTACATGGGATTGTTTTGTTATCCTTTCTTATTTTTTTGGTGTTTTGTTTAGAGAATTTGATTGTATGTTTTTGGATTTGGATTGAAGTACTCATAGATGGGCATCTACAAATTTGGCTATGCAAACGCCCTCTTAATATTCTATATGTTATGATATTTGGAAACAATAGGATTTGGTAATTTAAAATGTTATTTGGTATTTGATGGATCATAATATATATGCAATGAGTAACTTAAAGCGTTATTTGTGTTGAATTGAATATAGTTATTTTATATTTACACCAAAAAAAATGATTGTGTAAGAAAAAATATTGTACTGTACTTATTAAAAATATTGTACCAAATATGTACCATTTATTAGCACTTTATTTGAAAGCGCTATCAAACATATGTTATATATTAGCGCTTTTTGTTTAGAGTGCTATAAAAAAACAAACAAAAAACATGCAAAATACTGACTTTGATAGCACTTTAATTAAAACGCTATTATAAATTGGTACTTTAATAGCACTTTTAAAGTGCTATTAAATAAGAAATATTTACAATAGTGGCGCGGTTAATAGCACTTTTAAGCGCTATCAAAAACAAAAAAAGCGCTATTAAATAGCTTATTTGGCGTAGTGCGTGTTGATACCATTTTAACCATCAACAACATTGTTGCCCTCTACCATGTTAAAACTCTTAATCAATAACCTTGATCAAATTCAAACAACTCTTGAATATTGATCTCGCCATTTGCATCCACTTGTTTCCAATTACCCTTTTCTTCTCAGGTAATTTAACAAGCCTATAAGTATGGTTTTTCAACCACCCTTCACTCCACCTATTTTCAAATGTCTCCCTAAAGGTTTTTTTTCTCTTTTATTTTGCAGTCCTTCAGCTACATTAAAAACATAATATACAAGGTAGCATAACCTCCTCTTTGAGATGCTACAATAATTCTCCTTACCTTATCACGAGTCAAATGATAATCAAAGATCTTTGTAACTGTCCCTCACTACTGCTAGCATCCATATTAGGAAACTTCACCTCAAATTGAATTTTCTCCATTATAGCTTTTACCAGGTTTCTCCCTTTGTTTTCAGTATTCTTCCTCTGAAGAAATTTTCTACTAATCAAGTAAGTTGTTTTAACCTCAGCTCTTTCCCAAAAACTCAATAACAACTCAACAATAACATGCATTTTTATCCCTTGATTTATGTAAAATTCATTATATTCCTCTAAAACTTTCTCAAGGTATTCATAACGCCTTAAACTCAAATCACGTAGTTCTTTCTTGTCATGAAAGCCTCCACTAGTTAATGATAAATGAATGATCGACTATTTATGTGAGTGTAAAATCTAACTTTAAGTGTACATCCTATCATGTAGTTTTAGAAAGATATCGATCCACAGATACCAATAGTAAAATCTATTATTTCTAGTTGTTATGGTGTTTATCTAAGGCGATTACGAATAGTAGTGGAAAGGAACAAAATAAATAAACTTTTGATAAAAACAGATGAAATAACAATGCTGAAATGTAATTCATAACAATCAATAATACTCTGATTGTCTCTACTAAGATTACTTACGGGGCAATATTTCCTACTTTAAAAAAAATCAATTTAACAGAAATTGTCACTGCCGCGTATTCAGAACTGTGTTTACTCTCTAATTTATGCACGTCATTGTCACTTATGGAAGGTGCTTATGGCGTTAAAGTAGTAAAACTATTTTTAAGAAATTAAATTCTTAACTAAGTTGAAAAGTTATTTTGAATAGAAAGTTTGACTTAAAAGGGTTCATGGTTTTCACTCAGGCAACCGGATCCTAAACCTACAAACGCGTTCGCAAATAGTTTTAAAACCTCCTTCTAGAAATATCAAATCTTTCTAATTAACTAACAAAGTGCTTTTGTGGTATTTGTTAACAAAAAACAAACCAATTTTAGTCTTTTAAGTCGGACGATTTTTGATCTTACCCGACGTTTTCACTGCTTCACTTTCATGTAAGCAGATTCAAAATAAGTTCAAAACAATTGTGTTGAAATCAAAACAGCCCACAAAAGTGATCCTAAAGAGACAACATGTAGAGCATATCCTATTGACGATCTTCACATCTCAGCACTTAATAAATTAGCCGGACATATTTAGGGAAAACAAAATATAAAGAGTTTTAAGTGCAAAGGTAAACATAATGATGGCAGGAAAGTAAAGGCAAGACAATAAAAATAAATGTTGAATGAATTAAAAACCTGCTACAAACAGAGTCTTGAATCTGATACAACTGCAATAACTGGAAGTAAATCTTGACGGAATGTAAACGGCATAAATAAAGTGCTTGAAATAAAACTTGTACATGAGTGCTCCAAAATTGATACAAACTCAACTGATGGTGCAATAACCCTCTAATGTAAAAAGATTATTACTTTACAAATTGACAATATATGGCTTAAGTATGCATAGCTCCTAATTAGTCAATTTCTTGAAACAAAGGAAAAAACTAATATAATACTAGAAATGAAAATAAAATGGCAATAAAACATATGAAAATAAAGTCAAATATACGATGTGTTTTGGTGTCATCAATGAACAACATTTGAACCTTCTAAAGTATATAGGCCACATATTTTACACCTTTTAGCAATAATCATTTCGTCACGTGAAATCTTTAAAACTTAATGTTCAACTCTAGTACAATAGCCTATACCATCAAACATATTTATAGATAAAAAAATTCTCTTGAGTTCTGGAACATGCCTTACATTGTGAATAAGAAGTTCTCAATCATCAAACACTTTAAGTATGACCATACCAATACCTTATTATCACCAAGGTGAACTACTCCACCATGCATCATCTTTAAAGTTTCAAAGTATTCTATTCTTTGACACATGTGATATGAGCAATCTGAGTCAATGACCCAATTATCTTCAGTTTCAAAACTCGATACTACTAGTACATCGACATCCTCATAGCTTTACTCACCCAAGGCAACTGCAGATTGAAAATAATTTTCATTGACTTTTCTCTCAAGACAATCCCTTTTAAAGTGACCAATTTTCTGACAATTAAAACATTTTACCTTTGACTTGTCAGACCTCTTTGATTTGGACATCTCTTTAAGTTCACCTCCTCCTCTTAAAATATTTAAGCCTTCACCACTATCTTCAATTTTCAAATCTTTCGTTTTTGAATATTAATTGGATTTCACCGCAGTCTGGACTTCATCCAAAGTAATAGTACCTTCCTTACCATAAAGAAGGGAATCCTTAAAGTGCTCAAAGGATACGGATAATAAACTCAACAGTAGTAAAGCCTTGTCCCTATCATCAATCTTAAATTTAATATTCTCAAGACCATCAATAATCTTGTAAAATTTTGTAAGTTGATCCACTATGGATTTATGCTCCACGATTCAGAATAAATAAAGTTGTTGTTTCAGACACAACTTATGAGCCAAAGACTTAATCATATACAATGATTCAATTTTTTCCCACATAGCATCCATAGTTTTCTCTATGGAGACCTCTCTTAGAACTTTATCCACTAGGCGCAAGATAATGGCACTTGTGGCCTTATCCAACCTCTCGGTCTTTCGTACCTGTGTAAGACCTACAAGCATCAACGCTTCACTCTTTAAAGTATCAATACATTTCTCTTGATTTAAAATTGCTTGCATTTTAATTTTGCACTACCCAAAGTCGTTGTTTCCAGAAAATTTCTCGATCTACCATCTTCCCATGGTGCTCACTTGTAAACAATACGCCTTTGCTTCACGCTCACCGCTCCACTTATTGTGAATCTCATTGTGAATTATGACAATTTTAATATCAAATTGTTAGGAAAAGAATATTATCAACAAAAATAAATGGTCTGCAACAATAATAATTCGTACACAGATAATATAACAGAATAAAACGTGAAAAAGACAAAGGTTTGTTTACTCAGTTCGATCGAACGATTTACTCTGGAGGAGAGAGAAACTCTCCAATTAACTATACTCATAAATTTGTTACAAGAGATTACAAATGAGTTACAAAAAAATAGACTTCGCGTTCAAGTTCCCAAAAATAACCACGAAGGCTCCCAAGAATTACCCTATTTACTACCCAAGTGTTTCCCAACCTCTTCAACTTTTAATATATGAATAACTCAAACTCAAGGTGTAAACAAGTGTTTCCCAATTCTCAATAACCTTAGATAACTATAAAGGTTTCCAAAACCCTTGTCTTTCTAAGGTTTCTCTTGAGAATTGCTAAAACCATATGTTATGCCTTTAAACCATTGCTCTTCCTTGTTGTTGTAAGCTCTAAGATAGACACAATATAATAACAGAAGAGTACATATTTATAATAGCCAAAATCCAACAAATCTATAACAAATCCCAAAGATTATATCATTAATTGTTAGAATAAAATATATTATTATAATCTTATAATATCTCTTAAATATTATAAATATCTTATTGGTTACAAGTGTTCTAAAAACTATAAAGAGGTCCTCTTTATCTCCAATGTCCTTTGAGCGCTTTAAGTCTCTTCCATCTCTTTCATCCTCTTCACCAACTTGCTCCATTACTCGTCATTTTTTCTGTTCATTCATGAAACGAGAGCAAAGAATGGAATGGTTAGTAAAATAATCAAAACTTGAATGATAAACAAAGAAAAGTTTCAAGAAATTTTCTCTTTAATTTCATCACGGGGGTTCGAGTGAGGAATCAGAATATAGGGGTGGTGTTTTCGAATCATGTTCAAAGCGATACAAGGCCTCATACATTGGTTCCTTAACAAAATTAGAATTTGCATTTCAAATGATGTTCATAATTCTCTACTTCAAATCACAAACAATTTGGTTCACAAAAAAAAGTTTGAAAAAAAACAATTTACTGCACAAGTTTCACTACTCAGTACAACTCATTTTCACATCACAATTACTGCAGTAACAAAGAGGAAAGTACAGAATCACAAATTCTATGACAAACAACAAGAGTCATCAGAGTAAAAGATT